GGGCGTGTGTGATTGAGGTATATAGTCAAGTTTGGGCTCCTTTTAAGGCATACGCCGCGGCGAAAGGGTGGAAATACAGAGCTGAGAATGGGCAAGGCTGCCCACACGGAAGTTCCGTAGTCCCAAACTGAACACCCTAAAGCCCTTGACACCAAGCTAAACCCTGGGAGTAACCCCCTAAATCCTGAAGCCCCCAAAATCCTGAGCCCAGAACATTGAGACCACCCGGACTTCACAGACCCAAATACCTTTATTGAGGGATTCAGTGACTTGCTAGGAGTTGCACCGCCTGAAAGCTGACAAAGAAGGCCGAGTAGGGAGGAGGTCTGAAGTGTGTTGTGATGATGGGCTTTAGGGGGGTTTAGGGCTTTGGATTTTGGATTATGGATTTTGGATTATGGATTGATTAGGGTTCCGGAGTTTGGGTATTGGTAGTCTGGTCTATGACTTGGTGTCCGGTGTAGTGATTCCCTTCAACGAGTCTAGGGAGGGGCTCTGCACCAGGCATTCTGCTGTAAAACAGCTGAGTAGTATTTTATTTGCGGATACTATGGTACCCATTATAGAGTAAGATTATATCCTCCTTTTGGGGTATAGTATTTTATATATGGAATATTATCTTACTAGGTTCAACCACCAAAAAAACACTACTGAGCTGTGTTTTCGGAATGGCGGTCAGGGGTAAGAGATGGCGCATGACGCAGTTTTTTTACGCAGAGGAAAACAAGGATTTTTGCCTGCGAGCCGAACAACACTGAACACGGGACCGGTAAGTTGGAGCCTTGCCCGATGTTAGCAGGCTTTTTGGGTAGTAAACCTGAACAAGGTGGAATACTTCGCAAATCCAGACTTCGGTGTGTGACGTCAGCCCTTCCAGAGAGCAACATAGACTTGCACCTCCCTCGATGCCCTCCAGCTCCCAACGCTAAACCCTGTAACCCCTGTAACCCAAGCTCGAAAGCCACCATGTTCCTTCTACAACCTGGTGCTTAGCAGGGAATGGGGGAATGGATTATAGGGACTAATATTATTAGGGATTATTTAGGGACTACTATAGGGATCCATTCCCCCATTCCCTCCTAAGCACCATGTTCCTTCTAGTTGGATGTTAGCCTGGCAGAGGTCTCGAAGGACAGATCACTCAGCTCAGGAGCGACTTGAAGGCTCGCAAAGGGTTCAGGGTCTAGGGGCTATCAACAGTCGTACAAGAAGTACTGGATTTTTTGGGGGGGAAAATGCACTAGAATCTGGAAGCTTTATGGGCTCGGGGATTTCCGTTTTATGGGGCTTCAGGGGCTAAGACTTTTTGAGCTGACGCTTGACAGCGCGTGGTGTTGAGTTGTTTGGTGATTTCGGCCTTTTCGTCGCATGTCAGAGCGTCAGAAGCCCAAAGAACGTTACGGTAGAATCTGAACCTTGATGCGAAAAGGTATTGGATCAGTTTGTTACGGCGAGCTGCTGAAGGTAGATCTGTTAAAGCAGGACCCACCGAACTTTTCGCACATGATCTTGCTGAGAAGGTAGCAGATTGTAAAGATGCCACAAAACACATCCCAGTCGGAATTCCGCCTGCAAGCCCTAACATGGTCAAGCCGGATGTCTCCTACAGATCTTTTGCATTCGTAGGTGCTTCCAATAGACAAAGCCTGGAGAATGATGCGTAGGTCCTCCCGCGATTCGCTGACGCAAGTAATTTCAATCCTAAACCTAAACCCAAACCCTAAACCCGTAACCAACATTAGCAGCCATGTTCTGGAAGTTCTTACATATTGAGGATTACAGTAGATTGGGCCCTACAGTTGCCCCCTCCTGCTCTTGGAAGCCCACTGAGAAAGTGCCACCCTTGCAAAAGGAGGCTCGAACTCTCAATGCTGACAGGGAGCTGGGGGCTCAGAGCCAGGGCAGTTGAGCAGGAACTTACATAGAGACAAACGGATCCCAGATGATCCCAGAATCTAGAAGAAAGCTTGCAGTCTCCTGCTTCTCCTTGTATCAATCCTTTTTGAAAGCTTTGACAGCTCACTGGGTCCCTGCTCAAAGTCACAGTTTTATGAAGTTGGGCAGCCATTCTTCAGGAATCCCCCATTTAGGATGCAGACAGAGGGCTGACAACTCACAGCCTTAAGGGGGACTACAGCCTTTCTGGGCCCTAGTAAATAATGATATATTCCCGGGGTCCCCAAGGGTACCCTAGGCCTTATTTTGGGAAACCAAGTTGTTGAAAGAAGTTGCCTTCCTTCTCAGGTCCCGCTTGCTGGAGGCCACGGGTGAGCTGTCTCTGGCTGAGGAAGTCATCGATGCACGGCCGGCTCCATTGGTGTACCAGGAAGTTTCCGCAAGTTGCTTCAAGAAACGGCCTCATGTGTTAGGGTGAATTTGTGGGGTGAGCGTGCACAATCCCGGGTGCTGTGGAAAGCCTACAGCAGACTGTGCACAACATACAAGCTCATGAGCATTGACATGTTGACAGCTGCCGGAGAGTCCTAGCTGCAACGCCACGTGCACTGTGCCCCGGTCCTCGAAGAGTCCGCAGCAACCGATGGCAAAGAGCTAGCTCCTGGAGGGGTTTAGGGTTTTAGGGTTTTAGGGTTTAGGGTTTAGGGCCATGGGAGTTATGATGATTTTGGAGCCCCAGCATGAAGATGAAAGTTCTACGGCATGACCTTCGGGCATGCAGGAGGACCCTGAACATCATGCGCTCTAGACTGCTTACATCAACCTACCATAACTGCAATAACGCAAGCAAGAGCACTCGATCTCATCTTAACCCATTCCGAAGATTTTCCAGATGCTTCACTTGCTATTGCTCCTGGAGACCATACCCAAAGGGAAACCTTTTGGACCCTGACTATATCCCATCACTTATTTGACCCTTTGGGTTATGTCTTACACTTCCCACTGCAAGGCGAGGACACAGCTTGAGTCCGGACAGGGATCTTGCAAGCCTTCCCAATCCCAAGCCCCAACGCTTTCTGAGAGGGATGGGAACTTAGAGCTAGGTGATGCGTGGTTTTTTATCGGTCATGGGAGATATGTTAAGGATGGACATTGGATTAGTGACGCAGGGTTTTTGATTGGAAAACGATCACACACGCACCAAAAACGATAACGACAACATATACACCAAAAATTGGAAAACGATAACACACT